TAAATTTAACATATGAAGGACATCAAACAGATCTTAACACACTTACCTCCTCAATTCTTGTTATGTGCAGACCTGGCTCTACCTTGTTTTGCAGTCATTAGCAGTTCGTCGTAACGCAGCCGTTGTAACTCGCGCCAATTATTCACATTGCACAGAGTCTGGAAAATTATCTACAATTTTATGTGAAAAATTTTAGCCATCTATATGAAGCCAGTATAGCTTGTGAAATATTTCAGTAACTGAAAAACGTTTTGCAGACAATATGTGAACAATCTTAATATTTTGATCTTGCCTGTAAATTGGCATGCCTCTTTAACATGGCGTTAATTGGGAATAAATTTTTATTATTATTATCAAGGAAGTCAGCCTTATTGATATGTCGTTTTACTTATCCCATTATGGAAAACTCCTAGATTGAGGTCTAAGCCATTAATTGTGCACTTATCCAGCTACTGAAAAAATAGACCTATCCCATAACTATAGACTTGCGACTACCTAAGCTATAAAATCTTACGTGTAAGTCACATGAATAACCTCAATAATTTGTCCGACCGAGACAGTCAGCAGCATGCTTTCTGAGACCTCCAAATAACTCATTAAGGATGGGAATAGAATGAAATATTTAATATGAATGGTGGGAGATAACTTAGGACTTCAAGTACCCAAATACCAATGTTGGTCCTCAGAGTTATCATATTTTTAGCTTCGCAGATTGTAGAATCCTTTTTTGAATGTTTTGTTTTTTGGAAAATCCCTCCATGTTTACATATTTTTGTCATGACATGACGGACTTTTTCTGTTGACATTTTTGGTATTTTATTTGATTCCAATTTGAGATTTTATCATTGTATATTGTTATTATTTCTATATTTTGTACTTATATTGAAGTTTTTGTGTTTGCTTCTGATCTGTATATATGTTGTTTAAAATTGATCTTTAATATGGCTACAGCCATATTTGGATTGATACGGTCGCTGTTGGACTTAACGTCACTTATTGTCGTTGTTTCGGATACTCTACGGAGTAATTGTAACCTGGAAGGTGTATTAATTCCAGGTACTGCTTTGTGTTTCCATGTTTTTATTAATAAAGACGCTTTCTCCTAGAATTTTTGCTTTATCGGGACCTTGGACTGGGAGAAACGAGTTCAGGAGTGCACCTATTGGAACCCATTGGAACAGCCACCGTAGAAATCCATTCACACAGATTAGGGGTTTTCAAAAAAAGCATTACAAAACCAAGTAAAATATAGGCCTACTCCTAGGTCTAGTATTGATGACTGCTCTCTGTAAGTATAAATAGTATGTTCTACTTGATACTGTACGATTAAACACATTGCTTACTTCGACTAACATATCTCGTGAGCACTTAGCATCACGAGCAAGTAACGATGTGTTACCTACAAAAGGTGGGGAAGGTAAGTTTATGTTATTTGGAAAGATTTTGTGACTTCAATGCGGAGGAAGACTACCTAAATTTAACCATACCTAAAGACCATTCAATCCAAGGGAATCCTACATACCCAAAGCAATTCAGGAACTCAGGAACAGAGAAGACCTAACTGAGGCACTTCAAGGTCGTTACAGATAGAAAAACGACCTGTCTAGCCATATTAGGTGCTGCGAAAGCCGACCTAGATCTCTGAGACAACAGCAGAGAGGCCATAATAAACGTACAAAAATGACAGCTGACTTATATCAACAACTTCTGGCACAAGACGCGAAGATTATAGTCTCACCAACTGGACGCACTTCATAGGCGAAAAACCTTCAGAAGGCAATGCCCATAGAACTGGCCAACTTGGTTTGAACAACTTGTCTTAAATTCTGACAACGGCTGTTGCTGCAGAGATGCACCGATTGATGGGACAAACCACCAAGTGCCGCCATAGCAACGTAAGAGGACTAAGCGGTAAGCTGTTGGAGATCACAAATATGTGCTCTCAGATGGATCTGAAGATCATAATTCTAACTGAAACACGGCCATCCCCTGACATTGCAGACGATGAAGTGAGCTTGCAAGGTATGACACTTCCGAAGCGACAGGGTACACCAAAAAAGTAGGTGGAGTGACTATATATATTAGCAGCCACTTAAAAGCCAAGCGGCTATACGACACCGAACTAACTAAGGTGAGAGGATCATATTGGTGTTGTTTCCACACAAATGGCGCGAAATACCTGATCGGAGGGATTTATCGTCCTGCCTCAGGTACTAAGGCCCAGAAAGATAAAATTACTGTGGTAATACTGCAACTGCCACTCCTATGGTTTGACCAAATACTCTTACCTGGAAATTTCAATAACCCATCTCTAAATCACAGCTATCAGGGTACAACTCCCACTGGTTGGTTCCAAAGACTACTTGGTGCAGCCATTAGAAGCTCTAGGCTTACAGGGCATGTACGCAGGGCCACTAGATCTACCAGAGAAGGAAAGTCCTCAGACCTGGATTATCTGTTGACAAATGATCAGCCCCTGGTCGAGGATGTTCACGTCCATGCACCAACAGGGAATAGTGACTGTGGCACAGTCTTGTCCAGCCTGGTCATAAAAAAGCAATTAGGCAGGACGAAAACGAGCCTTGTCCTTGCTGCACTACGGTGAACTACACATGCATGAGATAAAACCTTCTGCATGCCTCATGTCCGCGGGAATGGCTGAGGCTGACAGTAGATGATCATTGGCAAAAAGTGAGAGACATCATCCACAATGCTGTCCTAGACAAAGTACTTTGGTCACACCGCACAGCCGGAAACGGGAGAACATGTGTTACACGCGGCACTGAACGCCTTCTACAGGCGAGAATGAGAGCCCAGCAGAAGCGGAGAGTCTCTTTGAAGGGTTCTGATCAAAGTAAGAACTTCGATCAGAACCCTTCATTCAGAAACAGATGCAGTACCAAAGTTCGAAGTGATGGGAGACGATTTCAGATTGAGCTAGCTGTCAAAATACAGACGGACCCGAAGCATCGGTTTAGGTTCATGACAAAAATAAAACCTACGAACCAGGGTGTGTTCGCCCAGAGGTCTAAATGGCGAAGATATCACTAACCTAGCTATTGGTTGAGATTTTTAACGCCAACTTCGCCGATCACTTGAACCAGGTATCCACATGTTCAGAGTGCTACGCAAACCCAGTGCCAGCTGACGGATTAGGGAATATCCGATTTACTCCTGACTTAGTACTGAGGAAAATAAAATCCTTACACCCATGAACTTCACCAGGTTGTGACAATATTCGCCCCATAGTCTTCGAACAATATGCAGGAGCCCTCTGTTCGCCGATAGGTGACTTGTTCAGGCGTTCACTGGAGTCGCACCAACTCCCAGCTGAATGGAAACAAACTTCTCTCTCCAACCTTCAAAGGAAGAGATATGAAGGATCCAGCCGGTTACAGACCAGTCACATTACTACCAATACTATCAAAGATAGTGGAAGTGCCGGTGAACGAACGAATAAGGGAATGCATGGATAAGAATGAAATACTCCATAAAGCTCAACACGGGTTTCGGAAAGGCAGGTCGTGCGCATCCAATCTCATAGCATGGGACAATTGGACATCCTGCATGGACCGAAGAATACCGGTGCACGTAATATTTCTCCACTTTACAAAAGCCTTCGAGACAGTACCCAACGCACGCCTAATTGGCTCACAAACTACTTTGAGAGCGAAAGGTTTCGTACCAAGGAAAATGGAGTGCTCGCAAGTTGGTCAGTCTGAACATCGAGAGTTTCACTGGGGATCATCTTACGTCCACTTCTCTTCCTGATATTGATTAATGATCTGTTAAACAATGTTGGCTCGGCAGCAGTGATCTACAAAGACGATACAAAAAATTGCAGGTCAATTAGAAGCGAGGAGGATTCGAATGAGCTTCAAGAGGATCTTACATCCAACGAGGAATGGGCAGTGAAAAAGGGTTTGAAACCAAACCATCCGAAATGTCACGTCATGTACATTCTGCCCCACAACACAATTATTCTTAACATCGTTTAAGACATATGTGAGCCTTCAACTTGAGGTTCACAACGTCGTCGCTCAAGAGAGACGTAAATCTTTTCGACTGAATGTAGAGACGAGCAACAAAATTGGTGATAGGTTTGAAGAACAAACCTTACGAAAATAGACTCCAGCGTTCGGGATTGTTCCCCTGAGTTACAGGAGAATCAGAGGTGATCTGATTATGGTGTACAACATATTAAGCACGCCAAACCATCCCAACGTGAGCACCCTACCAAGGCTTCACCACCCACCACTCGATGTAACCCTCGAAAAATTGATCGCCTCAGAGAGAATACTCGAGTTCGTGCACACTTTTTCTCATTCACAGTCGTTGCAAATCGGAATGTTCTTCCAGCTGAGGTGACCACAGCCCCCCCAGTGGACAGCTTTAAGAAGAGACTTGATAATCATGTACTCACATACGGACTATAATCTGTCTCTTCGACAAGCTGTTCATGATGCATATCTTGAGCCCTGCTAGTTGTTATCATTGCCACCTCCTCAGATCACTAAACTAATCTATCTCGCCTATTATCTCTGTTCCCTCTCCCTTGCTTGCACTTCGGTCCACCCTCACAATCTTCACTACCAATTAATAAACTAAATCATCCATATATTACTTAGTTCTGAAATTTTATATTAGCATTAGAATTTTGTCCTTATCATCCTTATTATTCACCACATTGCAACTAACTGACCTCCGGTCTGGTAATGTGATAGCTGCTGGTATCCAGAAACCCCACTGCCCTGAAAAAAATTTTCATTCGAGTCACGGGAGAAACAAACTCACAAGCAACCACCAACTGGCTATAATTAGACTGTGGAGTGGCTGGACCTCCATCCATCGGACACTACTAAACGGATAGAACCGCGCCGGAAGAACAATAATTGAGAGCAAAGAAATTAATTGGTTTATACTGGCTCGTGAAAAAGATATTAGATATTAGAATCCAATTAAGTAATGGCTACTGAATACCTGTCCTTCAAGGTCTTTTGAACGAAAGAGCGGGCTGCTTTGAGAAGTCTTTACGTTTCTACCCTGTCTTTCTTCCGTGACATCCTACCGTTTAGGGTATGTCTTCTGGTTGCTGCTCAGATGAACAGAGTGATGAGGACGAGGATTCCGACTCCTCCACTTACTACGAAGTCCAGTACGATCATAACGAAACGCTGAGCTCAACTAAAAACAAATGGAGTAAGTGCGGAAAGTTGTGAAGGGTTTACTTAAGCACCTCTCCGTGAAGCTTTTACACTCAATAACAAACTCTAACCATCTGACTTTTCTCTCAACTATTTTGATAGCACATGCATAACATCCAGGTGGCGAACAAAATGTCTACTCGTTGTTTCCAATATACGTTTCTAAATAGAAATTATATCAAAATGAGACACTTTTCTAAGAGTTGAATTCTTTGACCATAATCATATCTCGTGTTGTCAGTCAATCGCTGAGAAGATACGTGAAATAGTGTTGTCTAGCATCTTTGGATCAACGATTTTTTGGTTTCACATATATATATATATATATATATATATATATATATATATATATATATATATTCAAGATTGAAATCATAATGCTGAAGCAGAAATTAAATTAAATTTTCGCATAGACGTATACCAAATTCTTTACTCTGTCGTTCAATTTATTCACAATGCTTGGCTTGACAGCCTTTTATTCATATGTTGGGATTTGTTTATTTTCGTTTGTTGTTTAGGAATCAGTTTAACTACTTGATAATCTCATGTTAAACGTTCCTATCTGCAATTTCTCCTCCAGTCTCATTTTATATTCTTAGAAGTCAAGATTGGGAATTATTCCAGCCCAGTGGCTTAGCGCAATCAGTCACTTACAACATAGAACTTCGTACGTACATACATCAATTCATGTTGCCATACGGCATCGGCATATTTGAAGGTAAAGCCACTGAGTCCATAGTCTTCCTGCGAGAAATCATTAATTACACTTTATCGTATTTGAAACATTTGGCAGGGGAGAGTGATTCGATTTTTTTGGTTCTTTTCAGGTCAAAAAACAAATTGTACATGGCAAAAGTTTGTAATGCATAGGATTTCTAGCGTTTACTCTCAGTACTCTGATTTTCACTGTGTCTGTGATCAGGAACCTCTTGTTTGTGACATAGATAAGTTGGGTCCTAACAAATCTGTGGTGTGCTGTTACGGGTATGAGGGCGGTTGTCACTTCCCGGCTGCCCACACCGTGGAAGGTTGTTTCTTGAGGAACCTGAAAAGGAAGGTAGATTAGCGTTGGTCTTAGAGACCTGGCTGCGTGACCGCAGAGCCCAAGGGACAACTGCTTGAGGCCGGTCACGCACGGCCTTTTGATGAAAGGTTTTTTAAGTATTAGCTCCGCTCTTAAAAGCCCTTAGTGGGCACCCTTACCCAAGGAGACGGAAATCCGTGAGGTAGGGTGAGGTGTGACATTTTTAGGGTCGACCTTTTCCAACCCTTCCTTCCTTGTGAAAAGGCAGCATCGCTGCAGATGCTGGTTGTCTGAGGGAAACACCTTACTGCTGTCACACCCCTCTGCAGTCAGCAATACGACTTCGCCCTCAGACCTTGGGTAGCTGCTTTTAGTCTCATCGTTCTCTAATCGACCTTGCTGGCATGGTAGAACCTTCAGGAACACATGTTCCAGCCAATATAGCTCGGTTGGGTCATCACGATAGGCAAGCCCGATCACCACGTCAAGCTAGCTGCTTCGGTCGGGTAAAAAACCACTGTTTTCATTTTCCGTATCCCGCAAAAACAATAGTAATTGTCCTAATTTTCTCTCTGGTAACTTCATTTAGCTTTAACAGTTGTTAACTCAAGCCGTTTATACATTCTATTAATAGACATACAGGTTATAGTGTGAGCCACCATAGGTTGGTGTCAACATGCTTTATCATTACTACTATAGTTTATTTTTACTCTTAAATGAATTATAAATAAATATCAGTAATACAAATCGAATATTTTGTTTGGATCCTACATTATACTCACTTAAAAGTTGTAATTATTCTCAGGCAAAGCTCCTGAAGAAAATAATCAAACTACGGATGTTACTTCATTGGAATACTCATCCAATTCGAATGAATCAAATTTACGGAAGTCAGTGGACAAATCAAATGACTGGATTCATTCCTTCCAAAAATATCGTAAGTTAACATTGTGCTCAATATATTCTCCCTCTTGGAGTATTTTTATGCTCTAATGTAGTCAATTATTAAGAGTTTTATTTGATTCAGTTGTTTTGCTGCGATTAACCATTGTATTTGCAGCCGTAGTATTTTTTTATTAGATATTTTTCAAATTCTCTGTGATAAATTTCAAGGTGCAATTCTTCATTTACTTAATACTTCATAGAATACTGTTGTTGTGTTTCATAGACCCAGTTTATTTCAGTATAGATTAGCCAACAGTTTATTCAATCTTTCAAATCTAATTTTGACTGTTCGGTAACTAATTCACATCTCGCTTCCTCAATTATAGATGTATCCTATTGCCTGGTACGCAAACCCCCCTACTGGTAGAAAAGTTCATAGTCGTTTATCATCAGCTTTGTGTTATAATTCTCTCTTTATTACAACCCAGCTATTCCTACTAATGTTTAGTATTCTTGGACACCGATTCACTCAAGACGATCTCCCAAAATCAGAACGCGGTTGAACAAGAAATAGCTTATATTTCCAACAACAAGGTTAAAAAGAAAGTCAGAAGGTTCAAAGGAAAAAGATGTTAGTATATTTACAGATTTCTTACATGAGAAGGTTCTAGAATGTTCCCTCAGTATCGGCTAGCGCTGATTGGACACAAAAGAGCCAACCAGCGTGCAGCAATGCAACTGTGCTTTAATCCAATCTATGTCTCACTAACACTTTGTAACTTCATATCCATGTTGTGTTTGTAAACAGCTCTATATCATGTACTTATATGAATAACTCTACAACGTGTAACATCTCAGTCCGTACAGGGGTCACCGTTTTTTGCAGTTAGTATATTAATTCGTGAATATATTTGTACCAACTAGTCGTTGTTAGGCAGTTTATTTACTATTCTAATTCGTTGCATTTTATTTCTAAAGTATTGTCAGTTAATATATTTTGGTTACTTATTTAATTTTTCTAGGTGTGTATATTTCATCAGCATTATTATGCTAAGTTATCGTAAAAAAATTTCAATCTCATTTTATCAATTACAAATTAGGTCATTTTCTATGGTTATTATTTAATCAGACCTGATCTTTCCATCTGTAAAAAGCTACTAAATATATATATATATATATATATATATATATATATATATATACGTTTAAGGGTAGAAACATAAATTTTGAACTGTCTGATTATTTTACTTTCCGGTATTAGGAGACATCTACACATTAATATTTGTAGCCTTGAAAAATGTGTCGTGAATTCGAAATAGGTTTAACAAATTATTACTACTGATCCCGAACTGGCTAGATAATCAAGAAATTGTATTTAAAATAGATAGGATCTTTAAGCCAGCTGTCGAAATCTTTGTAAAATGGGTTCTTTTATAAGTTTACCAATATAGTGGATTATCTCTTCACGACTAAAATTCTGGATCATTGTCCTAGGACTATTCGCGAGTATCATTTCTAGTCATTTAAAATATTAATTAATAATATACAGCTTTGATAGAGCATTGATAGACCAGATATTTGGTCAGTATACTATTTGGAGAATTAATGCATAAAGAAATGCGAACGTTCAGTAATTTAATGCCCAAATTCCCATACTGAGTAACTAGAAAAGAAACATTGACACAGCTACCCTTATCTCTATTTAGGTAAAATACTGAATGCATCAATCATCTGTAAGTGATGACTAGTGATTGCACTACATATATGAGTTTTAGATGGACGTTATAAGGAAATTATTTATCTTAGAAATAATTGACTCTATGCTGCCAATATCAACAATAAATGAACTTACCTGTACTGGTAAGTAAGTTATGCATTAAGTGTGAAGTACTACTACTCTATTCTCCTTTTCTACAAACTATTGACTTCTCTACTACTAGCAGTTATCAAATGAACTAAAACTTCGAGTGAGATCGACCTGAAAGTGAAAAATTCCCAATGCCTGTAACTCTATATTTGGCACCTGGTTTTATCATGTGTACGTGGAAATGCTCACGTTTTCATTTTCACTACTTCGTTTGATACTTTTTCAAAAGTACACTAGTCTCATTTTTTTTTCGTTAAACATTTAACGATTTCCTTGGTTTAAACTTAATTTACGCTTAATTATGGCCGAAAAACTAACATTACCAATTAATAGAGATTTGCATGTCCACGGATTTGAGAAACGTTTCCTGCAGGAACATATGTTCCAGCCAGTATAGCTCGGTTGGGTCATCACGATAGGCAAGCCCGACCACCACGTCAAGGTAGCAGCTTCGGTCGGGTGCTGACTAAAGGACGAGTGTACTGCGCAGTGGTTCGCTCTGTCTTACTTTATGGCTGTGAAACATGGCCAGTGAGAGTAGAAGATATTCGTAGGTTAGTGGTTTTCGATCATAGGTGTCTTCGCAGCATTGCTCGTATATCTTGGGACACCCGAGTGAGCAATGCTGTTATTAGGAATAGGGTGTTAGGTAAGAATGGCAGATCAATAGATGAAGTATTGAAACTTCGTCAGTTGAGGTGGTTGGGACATGTGTTGTGTATGGCTAACCACCGACTGCCTCGAAGAGCTTTGTTTTGTAGTGTAGGAATAGGTTGGAAGAAAGTTAGGGGCGGCCAAACCAAAACATGGCAGAAATCCATGCGGTCATTGACAAGTGGACTGAGTCATGTCGGCAGTTGTCGACTACCTGGTTGGGGTCCGCGAGATGATAGTAATCGATGGTTAGAGACCTTGAATGACATGGCTCAAAATCGTTCGCAATTGCGCCGGTGCATTTATTCTTTGTGTTCTCTCAAATCCTAATCTTCCGGATTCTTCAACAACTCTAGTTTTGACTTTCTAAACTTTTCTCATTAAATCATACTTCTTGAATACTATCTTTTAATCCTAATCTCTCTGATTACTTCTAATACCTTTACTACCTCTTGTACTATTGGATTTGAATTGACAATTACATCTCTGTGCTGATGTGGTATGGCGACATTAACTGATGTACTTACGTACGAAGTTCTACGTTGCATCTGACTGACTGAGAAGATGAAAGAGTAATTGTTGTAATTCAAGTCTCGAAATCAAAGCTAGCAGTTTTCATAATTCACTTATTTAACACATTATCAACATTCTTCAATACTGATGACAATATATAACTGATTTTCTAACTCTTCAACTTCTCAATAGTTTCATTCATTTCTTGTACATTTTTTTTTCATTTTATTCTACCCTTGTCAGTTAAAATATCCAACAAAGAAGCTAATTTGTACGATACATTCATAAAATGTATACGTCACGATTCTGATTACGGTGGTTCCTACATACAACCAATGCACAACAGCAGTAGTAGTACTGTAAGTATTTCAATATAAAGCATAACCTTTTTGTCAATGATGTATATTTTATTCCACCAACATTATGTTTATCCGGACTTGAGACCGACAGTAGCCCTTGAAGGGTCTACAGGCTGAGTTATGTTTAGCTTATATGGGTTTTCAGGACCTTAGATCCCCAGAACTCACTTTAGAAAGGTCCTAATTTTGGATTTGACATTTTCAAGCATGGGCCGATCAATTGACCTTGAGATTGCATTTCCTACTCGGAAAATCCTTGACTGTCATTAGTTGATATGTTATTTTATTACGCTATTTTTGTGACTCTCCCAGGGACATTTCTATGATGTATAAACAAACTCGATTTTTACGCTTGTCAACCTCATATTTTCTGAGTGCTTATAGAATACACTTTCTACGTCTTGTCAAGACTTCTTCGTCTACTTAGTGGGACGCTCGGATGAGAGTAGACTATCATGTCACTGGACCATTTTTCTTCACTCTCGTTTACACCGACTAAGGTGAACTCGTAATAGTTTCAAACATCAATCAACGAGCATAATAATGGGACTAGAAGGAAATCGAGATAGAAGGTAGAAAAAAATTCAGTATTCACACATTCATTACAAACTTTTTCTCTGCAATTATTCCGATTTTTCTAAATTGATTAACTAGTTCCGATTGAGGATGATGACAAGCAGCTTTTTAACTAAATATGATTTTAGGAAGTCTCTTAATAATTGTTGAGTATATTACAGCATAAAACAAGATTTATCTTAGGTGTAATTTGTAATGTTTACAAATGTCCGTACTTGTTGTTAGGATATTCATCCAATATCCTAAGAGAATTATTGGTCTATTCCTATTGGTTAATTCCTACTGATCAATTTTATGGTCGTCCTAGATATCAATGTCACGTACTCCAATGTTGTTTCTTATTGGTTGTCCTGACTATCAATGTCACCTTAAATGTTGCTTCCTATTGGTCGTCTTAACTGTCATAGATTTCGATGCTGTTTCCTATTCAACCTAAATGTATAAATACGCATTATGTGTAACGTTTTATGACCAGGACTAGGACCCGGTCCCGGATTCCTAGTCCGGGATCCTGATTCTCTTCTGGATTCGGACCTCGTACTTTCTGGAGGCTTGTAGAATACAGGTTCTACTTCATATCATGTCTTGTCTTCTTTTACTCAATATGTGGGTTGGGATAATCGGATTTGAGTAGCATGTCGTATCGCCGGATCCTCGATCCTCACTCTCGTTTTCCAATTAGGTAAACTCGTAATAGTTCATGCATATCAGAATGATGTGTTTACGTGCAGGCGTAACACTTGTACATGATTGATAGCTGGAAATGTTTCTTTTTTATCGACTAATTTAGAGGTAGAACCAACTGTCTTTCCACGCTAAGGATGGATTTACGAAATTGTGTGAATATATACAAGTTTCTCTAAAGCTGTTTTTTACCAAAGAACGACACTCCTAAAACTTCCCATTAATTGAGTGTTGATGTAAGGTCTATCTATATTCGGCTTTAATTAACTGCTTCGTTTTCTTACTGTTGACTATCTTTAATTATCTGCTAAACTTCGAATCGTAATCTGAAATAGAATTGAGTGTTTAGTACATTTCCATTGTTACCTTTCGTTGATTTTTCAAGTAATACAACATTTCCAGCAATAATCACATACATCTTCACGTTAACCAAATCTTAATCATCAGTAACACCATAAAACACATATTTGTTATACCAATCCACGATAGTAACCGATGGTTAGAGACTTTGAATAACATGGATCACAATCGGTTGCAATGACTCAGATTCATTCATTCTTTGTCTTCTCTCAAATTCTAATCTCTTGCTAATCAAAGGACGAGTTCGCTCTATCCTACTATATGGATGCGAAACATGGCCGGTAAGAGTAGAAAATATTCGTGGGTTGTTAGTATTCGATTATAGATGTCTTGCTCGTATATCCTGGGACAACCAAGTAAGCAATGCTATAGCTTGGAATCGAGTACTAGGTAAGGATGGCAGGTCAATAGATGAAGTGGTGAAACTTCATCAGTTGAGGTGGTTGGGACATGTATTACGTGTTCCCAACCACCGGCTGCCACGTCGAGCCATGTCTTGTGGTGTAGGAGTAAGTTTGAAGAAAGCTAGGGGTGGCCAAACCAAAACATGTCACAAATCCATGAAATCACTGACAAGTGGACTGAGTCATGTTGGTAGATGTTGGCTACCTGGTTGGGGTCCGCGAGACGAAAGTCACGGATGGTTAGAGACCTTGAACGACATGGCTCAAAATCGTTTGTAATGGCGCAGGTGCATCCCCTTTTTGTGTTCTCTCAAATTCTAATCTTCAGAATTCCTCATCGTCTTTATCTTTCTCTTTCTAAAGTTATCTCTATTACCGTTAATAGCTATAGGTTTTGAATTGACAATTACATCTCTCTGTGCTAATATAGTATGGCATCTTGAACTGATTTGTGTACGTACGCAGTTCTAAGTTGTAGCTGACTGACTGATTGTTATAACAATCAATAATTCGGCACTAACTCTTTGTGCCTTACCGTAAATTACAACGTACCCGCTTGTCATTCATTAAATTCAATGTTCCTTTTCTGAATAAAGTAGAATAATACGTTAAAAATCTGAGAAAGATATTTTCATTTAAAAAGGTTGTGTTTTTATCCTTAAAAAAAGGAAGAACCTATTATTTCCATTAAAACGTCATCATGTCACAAATTTACGTGTATAAAGTTTCTCCTACCATGATATATATATACCTACATTTTAACTGCCAATGTAAAGTTTACAAAAATTCTCACGATAAGTGAATTGATCAAGTTAGACATTAACACCGTTAGATACCGGCTCAGTGGTCCGATGGTTAGGCGTTCGCCTACAATACCGAAGGTCCTGGGTTCGAATCCTGCGGGGTGCAGGGGTCGTGGGTGCGCACTGCCACCGATGATGAGTCCCACACCAGGACGAAACGGCCGTCTTTCAGTGCTTCCAGGTTTCTAATGGTGGTCTAACAATGATCGATTCATGGTTTTAAATAAACTTAACAATCTTCACAACCCCCGTAATGCAAATTTTAATAGCAAAATCTTAACAATAATTTATAATCACTATTCATTCAGATGACTTAAGTATCAGTTTTTTTGTTCATTAAAGCTAGGTCTGCGACCTTGACAAATTTATTGATTTTCGAAATGCAATTAATATCTGACTAATAAATCAATCCAAAAAAATAAGAAAACCAATAACTATCCGATACTTACCTCTAAATCACATCTTCTAATAACCATGTACTGATCATTTAAATAAGTGAAGGAAGTTAAGGAGAAATTTAATTGGTTGACAGTTTCCTCCACCCCTTTTTTGTTGGTTAACTTTGTTTATACAATTTCAGCATTTGTAAAATATCACCTGCAAACATACGTGCCTTTTTCTTTGTCTCTTGAATGAGTTCTCGTACTACTATAAGAGGAACACGTTTGTTGTATTTGACAGTGTGGTCCATTATATTTCTCAGAATACTAAGATGCAATATACTCGTATTTAATTCATTTTAACTGTATTACTTCAATTCGGGCTTGCCTATCATGATGACCAAACCGAGCTATATTAACTGGAACATATGTTTCTGTGGGTTCTACCATGCCAGGCAGGTCGACTGGAGAACGATTAGACAAAAAGCAGCAACTCAAGGTTTGAGGGAGAATTCGTACTGTTGACTGTAGAGGGGTGTGACAGCAGTATGGTGTTTCCCTCAGACAACCAGCATTTACAGCGTTGCTGCCTCCTCACAAGGAAGGAAAGGGTTAGAAAAGGTCGACCCTAAAAATGTCACACCTCAGCTTACCTCACGGATTTCCGTCTCCGGTGGTAAGGCATTCTAAACAAGAGCGGAGCTAACACTTCCGAAATATCTCATAAGAAGGCTGTGTGTGACCGGCCTCAAGCAATTGTCCCTTGGGCTCTGCTGTCACACTTCCAGGTCTCTAAGACTAACACTAATCAACCTTCCTTTTCGGGTTCCTCAACAACCACTCTTCCACGGTGTGGGTGGCCGTTAAGTAAAATCTTCCCTCATACTCGTAAAAGCACACTGACTGACTAATATATATATATATATATATATATATATATATATATATATATATGTCGACCATGTGCATTTATGTTGACCACAAAGTATGACTGCCTAAATGATGTTATTTTGCAATTTTTTTCCTACAATCATTTGACATTATTTGCGTTTAATTCTTTAATTTATTATTATTAATTACTGTTTTGTCCTCCTTTTTTTAAATTATTTTTCAGTCAACACATATATCAGCTTTACCATTTGAATTGCTTTTGCGAATAATTCGATGGACTATTGGCAGCCATTTGAATATACGTGTTCTAGGTGTTTTAGCTTGTGTAAGCTTTCGTGATTATCATTACACTCTGTTTTTAAAAAAAAAATGTTTTTGAATCATTGATTTTTTTCCCCAGTTGTTTCAGTTGTGCTCTGTTTTTTTTCATAACAAACTGACGATGTCAGCTAAATTACAGGAGGTGTTGAATAACTGTTTAGCTCTAGTTTTGATGTTTCTTATCATTGAGCTGATACAATTCTGGACACAGGGCAAACACGGTGCAGTCAGTGATACCTGTTTCATGATTGAACTCCTCACGTCATAGCTTCCCAACAAAACTTTTCGAATTCTCCTCGAAGTTACTTACCGATATTGTGTACTATTATTATTGTTTCTAGTAGTAGTATATTCGGATTCTTTGCAGCATACTAAATTCTTTAATCCATATCATGGAATAATCTTAATTAAGCTATCAATATAAACCACGAAGCACTGGACAGCTATGTCGTCAAAGTATGGCACTGCTCAACAGCGAACATCCACGACTCCATCGACAATTGAACCCAATACATTCGAGTCTCTTACCAAGCATTGAACTTCTGAATCACTAATCCGAAGCTTTGTGGTTTTGTATGTCTCCAGTTCTCGGTATTGCACAATTGACACTGGTTATTTTTATACTGAACTCCAGCGATTACGTCTTCTCAGTAGAACTCCAGGGACTACCACTCGGAATTGATTACTACTGAACACGTATTATTGTCATTACGAGTTACTATTAATAGCAGTATAAGCGATTTTGTGCAGATTATCAAGTAGCACTGTTATTTTATCATCGAGGTTCGGTATGCCATCGGCTCCAAGTCCTACGTTGTTTTTAATCGGTTGATCTATTGTTTGTGCCTTTCTGTAACCAGAGCTTTTTTATTCATGGTTATATTATGCGGTCAAATTTTATAATACAAAAAGTTCTCAGTAGTTCATTATTAAAATAAATATGTATGACATATATATCTGGAAACATAGTAGCAATAATAATAATCATAAAGATATCAAAGTGAGGTGTTATATGTACCATTCATATTAATTAACTAGAATTCTTTTCATGGTTTTGATGCTTCTTAATACCTACACTATATTTATGCATATTTTTAAAACCCCAATGTATCATATGCAACTTAACTCAGAAATGTTGTAAGTAGCCAACTATTCATGAATAGAATGTTACCCCAGTGTTAGGATATTCACCAAATATCCTAAGAGTACTATATTTGGAAGTATAATCCTATTGCTAGATTTCTGTTGGTCAAAATTATGGTCGTTTTAACTGTCAAAGTCAAATACTTCAATGTTGTCTCTTATTGGTCATACGGACTGTCAATCTCATTGCAAATGTTACTTCCTATTGGTCGTTCTAAACTGTTAATGTCACAGACTTTGATGCTGTTTCCTATTCGACATAGTCCTACTTGGTGAAGACGCTGACAAAATGCAGAGTCTTCTGACCACCCTAAGCAGCAATCCAAACATGTTCGGGATGTAGTTTTTCCCCTCGAAATGCAAAATGTTGCTTCAAGACTGGGTTGCATCGGCACCTGAACTAGTAATAGGGAGTGAAGTAGTCGAACGTGTAGACCGCTTCACTTATCTTGGGAGTCTCATCATTGCTGATAGCCTGGTGACTGACGAAATCTCAGCACGGATACAGAAAGCTCGATTGGCTTTTGCCAACCTGCGTCACTTATGGTATCCGTTTGCTGACTAAAGGACGAGTCTGTTGTGCAGCAGTTCGCTCTGTCCTACTATACGGATGCGAAACATGGCCGTTAAGAGTAGAGGACATTCGTAGGTTACTAGTCTTCGATCATAGGTGTCTCCGAAGCATTGCTCGTGTATCCTGGGACGACCGAGTTAGCAATGCTATGGTTAGGAAACAAGTACTAGGTAAAGATGCCAGATCAATAGATGAAGTGGTGAAACTTCATCAGTTGAGGTGGTTGGGACATGTGTTACGTATGCCTAACCACCGATTCCCGCGACAAGCTATGTTTTGTGGTATAGGAGTAGGTTGGAAAAAAGTTAGAGGCGGCCAGACCAAAACATGGCAGAAATGCATGAAGTCATTGACAAGTGGACTGAGTCATGTCGGTAGTTGTCGACTACCTGGTTGGGGTCCGCGATATGATAATAATCGATGGTTAGATACCTTGAATGACATGGCTCAAAACCGTTTGCAATGGCGCAGGTGCATCCACTCTTTGTGTTCTCCCTAATTCTAACCTTCTGAATTACTCATAATCTCTTTCTTTCTCTTTCTAAACTTATCTCACTGAATTATACTTTTCGAATCAAATCTTCGCTCCCTAATCTTCTCCATTGCTGCTAATAATTCTACTATCACTATCACTCTTGGATTTGAACTGACAATTACATCTCTGTGCTGATGTGGTATGGCAACCTGAACTGATGTACTTATGTACGAAGTTCTGCGTTGTATCTGTCTGTCTGCATATTTTTAAAACCCCAATGTTTCATATGCAACTTAACCCAGAAATATTGTAAGTAGCCAACTATTCATGAATAGAATGTCATCCGGGTTAATTATTTATAACCCATATTATTATTATTATTATTATTATTATTATTATTATTATTATTATTCAATGAGTCGTTTATACTCCTGATTTCTACTTCATTAAAGTCTCCAACGGAAAATTATTTTGTAGGCAAAACTTGAAAAAATAAAGTGCATACAACTTTCAAATTTTACAAATTTTGTAGATTCAAAGTTCCAATCAAGTTTGTTCCGTTTAAATTGCGAGCGATTAAATGAATTAATTAATTGGTTACGTACATTAAACACCTTGTGTGTGTATATATGTGTGTGCTGGGTTTAATGTACCATGTAGAGAGAGACCTAGTGTTAACTTACCTTCTTAACTTTTTCTCAATGGTTAATTTTTATTGAATTTCTCTTTCTTTATCAACAATAGGTATGTCGTGGTTTCTATCTATTGGCCAATGATAATTCAATATGGAGAGATATTTGTTTAAAATTATGGCCAATATGGTTAACAATGAATAATTATCATATTGGTTATAAGAATAATACTAATAATAATAATCAGCTGGCTTATTTATCTTCCATGAATTACACGTCATGGCGTGAAATGGCTATTTATCGACCACAAGTTTTATTTCATGGTATATATAATAAGTTTTATGCAAGAAGTTCACAAGTGTTTTTTTGGTTGTTTCATAGTTGAATTTGTTTGTGCTCTATATAAACAACACTTAGTTTATGTATATGTATATATATAAGGCTTGTGTGGTGCGCACTACTTACAAGTAGTATATGATGTGAGTGTAAACGTAATTTCTGGCAGCAGAAGATGGGGGAAGATCAACAAGAAAGGAAGAAGAGTGGGAACACAATGGAATTTGTATGAAACGCATGAATAGTGAGTGAAATGTCAGACAATGGATTGAAGATTTGCAAATTAACCGTTTACGATATGGTTTTCCTATTTCACTGAGTAACTCTGTAATTTTCGTTAAATACAATTCGGTTGCCCTCACCGGTGTTCTCCTTCACTACACTTGCACTTATCGATCTGTGGTAACAGCTTGCTTCGCTGTTGAAATTGATATACGTGCATCAAATGGGCATGTTCTTTTTATATAGTATAATAATAGTATACATATAAGTGCTCTGTGTAGTAGTAGTAATAGTAGTAGGTCTCAATATACACAAGGGAAAAAGCAAGATCCTCTGATATACAACAACACACAACACGTATCAATCAAATCAAAATTGATTGGAGAAGCTTTGGAGGGATGTAAAAGCATTAATAACATTATCTAGGCAGCATTATTGATGAACAAGGTGGATCTGATGGAAATGTGAAGGAGCGGATTGGCAATACAAGGGTAATATTTGTACAATTTCAAGAACATTTGGAACTCAAAACAACTGTCTGTCAACTAACATCAAATTCAGAATTTTTCAGCACAAATGTCAAAACAGTTCTGCTGTATGTAGCGGAAACTTGGAGAACTATGGAAGCCATCATCCATACAAGTGTTTATTAACAGCTGTCTACGCATATTACTTCGGATTCGCTGGTCAGACATTGTTAGCAACAACGTAATGTGGGAGAGAACAAACCAGTTCTCAGTGGAGGAGGAAATCAGGAAGAAGTGCTGGAAGTGAATAGAACACATTCAGGAAAGCACTCAACTGAGTCACAAGACAAGCCCTCCCTCGGAACCTTCAAGGCCAAAGGAAAAGAGGAAGGCCAAGGAAGACATTATGCCGAGAAATGGAGACAGGTATGAGAAGAATAAATGGCGATTGGGTGGAACTGGAAAAGAAGACCCAGGACAGGGTAATTTGGAGAGTGTTGGTCGGCGGCCTATGCTCCACTAGGGGTAACTGGCTCAAGTAAGTAAGTA